GAGTGCTGGATTACAGCTGTGCACCACCACACCTGGATGGGATCTAATTTTTTTGAATTTTATGTATTCTAGATATTAGTTCTCCGGGCTAGGAGTAGCTGGCAACCCCCCCCCCCATTCTGTAGGTTCTTTTCACTCTATTTGTCATTTCTATTGCTATACAGAAGCTTTTTAATTTGATATATCCTATTTGTTGATTCTTGATGTTATTCCTTGTGCAACTAAAGTTTTTGTTCAGAAAGTCCTTGCCTCCACCTATTTATTCATGAATTTTATGTTTTATCTTTTAGCAGATTATTTCTTGCTGCAATATTTAGATCTTTGATTCATTTTGATTTTAGTTTAGTACATGGTGAGAGATATGAACTTCAATCTTCTGCATGTGGATATCCAGTTTTCCCAGCACTATTTGAAAGAGGCTACCCTTTCTTCAGTGTTTTGTTTGTTTGTTTGTTTTATTTTGTTTTGTTTTTGTCTTGGAACTAGTAATCCTCCTGTCTCAGCTGTGAACTTTCATGCCCAACTCTGTAGATTATTTTTTGATGAATGATTCTTGAGGGGAGAGGTAAGTTTGGTCAGAAGTCAAAGTTTCATATAATTGGTCACTTGTGTTAGTGCTGCTTGGACAACTGAAACCAGTGCTAGAGTTGTCCAGCAGCAAAGCTCTTCTGCTGAGCTATTTGGCAGGCCCTTTGAAGTTGAGAAGATTTTGTGTTTGCTTGTTTGTTTGTTTTTGGCTGGCTCAGGCTGCCTTAAGGGCAGGTCTGGTAAGGCATGTGGAGCTGGGGATCAAACCCTGGTATCCTGCACCTGACTGCGTTTGCATAAGCAGGCGCTTAAACAACTGAGCTAACAGCAGGTCCCGTCCTCTTGTTTTCAGCCTCCCAAGCCCTAGGATTACAGGCCTGTGCCACCACACCCAGTCTCAGTGGCCCTCTCAGTGCACTCTGTGCAGGGCCAGCACAGCACAGGGGATGGAACCCTGGACCCTGCATCTGCCTCAGCAGGCGCTTTAGTCCACTGAGCCCTAATAATGTTAAGAAGGTGAATACCTAGATTGGACATACTAGGATTTAAGGATAAACACTTTTCCCATCTTTTTTTTTTTTTTTTGGACCCTTTAACTATGATTTATAATCATAAATTCAAATGAATGCTTGATTACCTAAAATGAACCAGTTTGGTCAGTATACAAGTTAGCTAAAGTAATTACAGCCACAATTTTGATGAGGGAGAAATTCAGACTGATCAAAATAAAGGTGCTGCTTTAAATGGAATGACTTGCATGAAGAGAGCCTTCCAATGTGTCAAGAAGACACTTTTGAATTAATTCCTAGTCATGGTCTTCATTCTTTTTCTCTCTTTTTTCTTTCCTTCATCCTTTCTTAATCTACAAATTCTAAATCATGCTGGTGGTCTCGGGTTGCTTTCTCCCCAAAAAACTTCTGTGGGGCTGGGGAGATAGCTCAGCAGTCTAAGTGCCTGAATGGCAAGAGTAAGGACCACGGTGTGATTCCGGTGCCACATCTATGGTGGCACCAGAACCCCAGGCATACTGTGCTGACCACTAAAACCAGATGTGGTGGCTCATGCCTGTAATCCTACAGCTGGGTAGGCTGAAAAGAAGAGGATCAGTATGACTCCCAGCTGTGTAGCAAGACCCTGTACCAAATAAATAAATACATACATACATACATACATACCTTCCCCAACCCACTCTCCTTCCCAAACTGACTTAGGTGAACATTAAACAATCCTGAAAGCAACTTACATTTTTTGCTTTAATTGTAATAATTTGTAAAATGTCTGTCTTCTTCACTAAACTGTAAGCTCCATAGTAGAAGGAACCATGACTTGTTTATGGCTCATTCCTATCTCTGGCCAACACCTAGCACCTAGCATAGTCCCTATTTGTCAATGGAACAAATTAATGCCCAAAAAAACTTGCTGAATGAATTAAATAGTTTTTACTGACAAAAAGTAGTAGAACGAACACAGCATGTGGATTACAAAGTAAAATATGCCAAGTGAAGAGATCATAGCACCAAGAAATACCAGTTTAAACAACAGATATAAGTAATAGGAACACACCCAAACAAAGGCATTCCTAGAACATGGAGCACAGCATTTTACTCAATGTGTCATATTAAAAGACCAGAAAGGCCAAGTGCTATTACTCCACCAAGTGTGGCGGTGCACATCTCTGATCTCAGCACTATGGAGGCTGAGGTAGGAGGATTGCCATGAAGTTCAAGATCAGCCTGGACTACACAGCAACACCTTGTCTCAAAATAACCTTAAAGAAAAAAAAAAAAAGTTTTTACCAATCTTGCAAAAGCTCCTACCAAAAGAAGATTTCTTACAGAAGAAAATGGCTAAATCCTAAAGCTGGTCCTTACCAAGCAGGTCTTGATCTCAGTAACATGGGGTTTTTGTAAAGGTGCCTTTTAGCTATATGTTCTCCAACAGGGTAGCAAACGGTTTATTTACCCTTTTATACCCTTCTATAACCCTCCTAACTGACTTAAATTATTTGATTCCCAGTTCAGTGTTCACATGCTAAAACACCCGTTTCAATACTTAACATTTTCAAGCAGCTATTTGCTAAAAACTGAAATAGCTAACCTAGCCAATGGCAATGGCAAATCAAAACAATAAGACACATTTCTCTGGCCTCTATCATCTGTTCTGTGCCCACCTCTCAACTGCTTAAATATATATACAAACTGCTGAATTGGCAAATGTGATTCTCTAAATTCAACCTTCCTATACACCTCTCCTAAGGATTAATTTGTTCCCTTATCTGTAGCCCAATGTTGAGCAACACAGCACCTGGTCTACAGACAACTGAAAGCTGTACACAGAGTTTGGGGGAAGGGGGTTATGTTTGTTGTTTGTTTGTTTGTTGATAGGGTCTCACTGTGCAATGCAGATTGGCTTTGACTAAGTAGGTCGGGCTGGACTAGAACTTGCAGTGACCCTCCTGCCTCTGCTGGGATTACAAGTACATGCCACCATGCCCATCTCTGTACATGAACTTTAAAGACTTCCTTTCCCATCTTGAGGGTCCCACTTGTCATGGATCTTTATATTCTAAAACAGCCCTTATCAAGAAATAAGACAGCCTCAGGGGGAAATAAATCAACAAACAATTGTTCGAAAGCAACCCCAAGTTCCCTGACCTGGTGCCTGACCCAAACATTCTTGTATCCTAGCCAGCATTCAACACGATCTGATATAGCCAAAAAAAATAATTACAGACAATGCAAGACAGATTTCTGCTGAGAAAATTTTTCTAAAAGTGTGAAGTTAGGCACTAAAGGATTTGCCCAGATTTTGGGGGTGGGGGGCTTTACACAATTCCCAAAAGAGATGTCCAACTTTGACTCATCAGTCAAAGCTCTTAAGATTACATCCTTCTGAATTCATAAGTAAGACTGGCACTTAAGGGGCCAGGGAGATAACTCTGGAATAAGTGCTTCCCTGGCAAGCAAAGGGCCTGAGTTCAATCCCCAGTTCTGCCAAAAAAAAAAAAAAAAGAATCACAGACCACTAAGTGGGGTAATAACGTGAATTCTAGTTTCCATAGCAATAAGAGGATGGCCTCAAATCTCCTGGGCTAGGTCCTGTTGCTGGTTAGCATACCTGAGAACACATTCTTGGGGTACAAAAATAATCACAACTAGGAGAAAGCTTCTTACTATGCTTCTCCCCTGATAACTGGTCCCTCTTCTTCTCTTGGGAGAAGATAACCAAGTACATCTGAACAAACTGCCATCATGATAATTCTATGAAGCACCTGAGTTTAAGAGCAGCTTTTTCTTACTGCTGCCTTCCGTAGCTATGGTAGGATAAAGGACTGCCTGGAAAGAAGTGTGCCTGAGCTTCCTCTGAGCCCCAGCTTCCAGCTCCCAGCCCTACTCCTGCATCCCACAGGGCTGATCTGATTCTGAAGGCAAGCCCTCTGCAGCAAAGCACACACTAGGGTCCACAGAATTTAGCTCAAGCCTCAGCACACCTGGATCAGGCCAGCACCACAGTTTCTTCACTAATTTCCTTGTCTCTGTTCTATTTTCTTCCAAACTCCTTCTCTATCAAGTATTCAGTATAATTTTTCAAATTCAAATCTGCCTATATAACTCCTTTGAATAAAATCCTTTGTGGATTCACACAAAACCTATACACAAATGTTGATAAAAGCTTCATTTATAATAGCCAAAAACTAGAATGAGTCCATATTCTTCAACTGATGATTAGATTAAAATCTGGTACTTACACACAATGCATGCAACACTACTCAGCAATGAAAACAAAATGAATTACTGATAAAGCAACTTGAATAGCTTTCCAGGGAATTATGTTGAGCAAAAAAACAAAAACAAACAGAAAGCCAATTCCAAAAGATTACATATCCTGTGTTCCATTTACATAACTTTTTTGAAAAGACAAATTTTTACAAATGAGCTAGGTGCGGTAGCACACACCTATATGAGCCAAGCTACCCAGGTTGAGGGAGGAGGATCAAAGGTTCAAGACCAGTCTGGGCAATCTAGCAAGACCTCGTCTCAAAATAAAAAATAAAAAAGACAAGAGACATTTTCTCTTCAAATGAAGATCAAAGAGGTTAAGGGATGGGGAAATGGGCAGAAAGGAGGTAAAGATGGTTATAAAAGGTCATCCACTGAGGTTGGAACAGAATTTAACACATATACACACAGGTGCACAGAAAACTGGGGAAGTCTAAAAATATTGATACATTGTATCAGTGTCAGTATCTTGGTCATGATATTGTACCACAGTCTGATGGCTTTTCAAAATGTTACTATGAAGGAATCTGCAAAGTCTCTCCACTTTTTTTGGTTGTCTGGGGGCTTGTTTATGTTTTTTGAGAGGGGCAGATCTTTTCTGAGACAAGGTCTCACTCATTATGCAGTTCAGGCTGACTCTGAACTCATTCTGTGACACAGGCAGGCCTGGAACTCAACCTCCCGGACTGAGGGTAAAGTGTGCTACCGCACCCAGCATGAATTTGCATGTCATCTTTGCCCAAAGGCCACACTAATCTTCTCTGTATTTTTCCAATTTTAGTATATGTGTTACTGAAGTGGGCACATTTTTTTGGATTTTCTGCGTCTCGCCATGTTAGCACAGGCTGGTCTTGAGCTCATTTATGTAGCCCAGTTTGGCCTGGAACTTGCAGCAATTCTCCTGCCTCAGCCTTCTGAATACTGGGATTACAGCCATGTCACCATGCCTGCCTGACTCCACATTATTTCTTTTTTTTTTTTTTTTTTTTTTTACATTGTGTGTGTGTGTGTGTGCGTGTGTGGCCAGCTCAGCCCACCAGGGGGCGCGGCTGGCTGGCATGTGGTGCTGGAGGATTGAACCGCAGTCCCTGTGCTTTGCCAAGCTTGTTCTAAGTAGGTGCTTTAGACCACTGAGCCATCTCTCCAGCCCTCCCCATTATTTCTTAAAACTGCATGTAGCTAGGTGTGGTGACATATACCTCTAGTCCCAGTACTCAGAAGGTGAGACGCGAAGATTGCCTCGAGTTTGAGGCCAAACTAGACTATATAGTGAGATTCTGTCTCAAAAAATCAACAATAACCAGAAAAACCTGCATGTTAACCTATAATTACTTCAATAAAAACTTCTTTTAAAAAATCTTTCACAAAGCTCTCCAAATCTACTATAGTGACAGCTAACTTTTTAGCAGGGAATTACAAAGAGCTGTGATAGGTTCCGGCCTAAGAATCATGGCCCTAACCCAACATGGCTGAATCCCCAAAACAACAGCTTATCTCCCCAATAACCACTTCCTCCTTCCCCAGTCCAGCCCTGGATACAACTTCCTTTTACCTTTCCCGCCCACACAAGGAAGCCTCCAATCAGCTCCTCGTGTGTCGCTGAACCTGACCCTCAAGCTCCGCCCCTAGCGAAAGTCCATAAAGTCTCAGCCTCCCTGTCTCCGGGCAGAGGATCTTCCTATCTCCATGTCTTCAGAGTCAATAAAGGCTTCCCCTGCCCCTAATTTCTGCTTCTCTACCCCATAACCGCCATTGCTGCTGCCAGTAAACCTGACAAGCTCCATATAATAATAGTTGTAATTTTAGTATCCACTGGTTAAAAATGACTAAGGAAGCAATAAAAGTCTTAAAACATCCCTCAAAGATTCCTATCAGTGTAAATATTTTAGAAACGAACTAGGAATGTATGATTGGGGCAGGGAAATAGACTCTAAATCAATAGTAAAACTGGGGATTGAGACAGTGGAGAACTGCTTCTAAGAACAGGAGCTAAGTACAGGTTGGAGCTAGGAATAAGAAACATTTTTGGGAGATAAGCGTACAAAGACCCTGACAATTACAGACTGAGAACCTGGATGAATAAGCACAACCGAGGATTGCTAAATTAAACATTATCTAAACTGGCTTGAGACATTTTAATAAGAATACTAAGTTATTATGAAGAAGGGCTCCTTTGATCTGACATTATAACTTGTTAACACTGAGCTGGAACAGCTGCTTAACCTTTTAGAGGCTCTGATTCTTGATTTTTAAGTATTTTAGATTACGCAAGCAGTGGATCCTAGTGGCATACAGTGCTTATGCAGTGAGCCCAGCACTCAGGAGGCTGAGGCAGGAGGATCACTGTGAGCTCAAGGGGAGCCTGAGCTATAGGGACTCTTATCTCAAGAAGAAGAAAAAAAAAAAAAAAAGATTATGAAAGCAAACTAAATAGTCCACTGATAAAAGTAAATCTAGTTACTTCTTAGTAAATATTAGGTTCTCCTTTTTTTCTTAAGATTTTTTTTTCTTTTAAAAATGAAGAAAAAGATTATGGGGCCAGAGAGGAAAGTGATCGATGATGTAGAGTGTGCCTAAGGAGAGTCACATGGAGAGAAAACATTCTCTCAGGCTTTCACAGAAAGCACATTGGCCAAGCAATGTCCATGACGCATCCACATGGCTGACACTGACAAAGGTTCTACAATCTGAGGTACAGGATCTCAGGATAAATCCTGAGAGGATTTCACTGACCTTATCAGACCCAAAAGCTACAACTCTTGTTGCAAAGGTCCTGCCTTACCTTGGTCTTAACCATCCAGCAGAAAAAATATAAGAAGTTAAGCCATGCTGTTATGCTGAGCTGTAAGGGACTCAGGTCAACAATTTCTGACATTGCCAGTCAAGCAGAAGACCCAATACTATTATGGGCTACTGGTCTCTTTTAGAATATTTTGCTGAGTTTACACACCTATAATATTCAAGTAACAGAACTTAACAAAAAAAGGGTACACAGATGTATGTCCATTTTGTATCTGTGTATTCAAAGTGATTAGGATAGGGGCTGGTGAGATGGCTCAGTGGTCTAAAGCACCTACTTGGAACAAGCTTGGCAAAGCACAGGGACCGCGGTTCAATCCCCCAGCACCACATGCCAGCCAGCCCCGCCCCCTGGTGGGCTGAGCTGGCCACACACACACACACACTAAATAAATGTTAAAATTAAAAAAATATATATTTTTTAAAAAAACAAAAAAAAAAGTGATTAGGATAGATATATAGTTACATTCTCTTAATGAATAGAGTGATTTGTTCTAATGGTGTTTGTAAATAGGATATCATGTCCACATCTTGTACAGCAATTAACCACTAGGAAGAATGTATGCAATGTGTTAATAATTGAAACTGTTCTACCAATCTGATTTGAAACTGTCTCATTGCTATTTGTTTATCAATAAAATTATGGGGAAAAAAATGAAGAAAAAGCTCTTTCTGTTAGCCGGCCAAGATGCCAAAAGGGAAGAAGGTCAAGGGCAAGAAGGTGGCCCCCTGCTGTCATGAAGAATCAGGAGGCCAAGAAGGTGGTAAATCCCCTGTTTGAGAAGAGGCCAAAGAATTCTGGCACTGGACAGGACATCCAGCCCAAGAGAGACCTCACCCACTTTGTCAAATGGCCCCACTACATCCAGCTGCAGCGACAGAGGTCCAGCCTGTACAAGTGGCTTAAGGTGCCCCCTGTGATTAACCAGTTCAACAGGCCTTGAACCACCAAACAGCTACCCAGCTGCTTAAGCTCACCCACAAGTACAGACCAGAGAACAAGCAAGAGAAGAAGCAGAGGCTGTTGGCCCGGGTAGAGAAGAAAGCTGCTGGCAAAGGGCATGTCCCCACTAAGAGGCCACTGGTCCTCAGAGCAGGTGTCAACACTGTCACCACTCTGGTAGAGAACAAGAAGGTTCAGCTCCTGGTGACTGCACATGATGTGGACCCCATCGATCCAGTCGTGTTCCTGCCTGCCCTGTGTCACAAGATGAGGGTCCCTTACTGCATCATCAAGGGGAAGGCCAGGCTGGGGCGTCTGGTCCACAAGAAGACCTGTACCACTGTCGCCTTCATGCAAGTCAACTCGAAAGACAAAGGTGTGCTGGCTAAACTGGTGGAGGCCATCAGGACCAACTACATCACGATGAGATCCGCTGTCACTGGGGAGACAACGTTGTGGGTTCAAAATCTGTGGCTCATATTGCCAAGCTGGTGAAAGCAAAGGCTAAGGAGCTTGCCACTAACCTGGGCTAAGTGTATTCTTGAATTTTCTGTACATAAAAGCAATAAATTGTCCTTAATCCAGTGTG